AAAAAAAAACAACCAAACACCAGGAGTGGCAATACTAATCTCTGATAAAATAGACTTCAGCATGGAAACCACCATAACAGATCAGGAAGGCCCTATAGCATTCTGTAAACTTTTATTATGAGACTCATGTCTGAGATGTTATTGCCAATTATTTTTTCCCCCAGTCAGTGAATTTCTTTTTACTCTGTTGGAAAGTGGTTTTTATGCACACAAACATTTTTTTATACAGTCACATTCATAAATTTTGTTTCTTAGCCTCTCCTGGTTGTGTATTTCTGGTCTTTTTAAATTATGAGCTAGGCTTTCTAAGCTTGTCTCTTATGATTTTGGCTTTTAGCCCTAGGTCTCTGATCCACCTTGAGTCTATTTTTGTGTATGGTGAGAGGTGTGCACTCTGTTTTAGCTTTTCTTTGTACACCAATGTTCTTGGCAGTGTTATTCACCATCGTGAGAACATTGGAAACAGCTCAAATGTCTATTCACCATCGAATAGATTTAGAAATTACAGTATATTCACAGAATGGAATACTATAGCATGTAGGAGCAATAATTCCAAATATTACTACATAACTTGGGAGGGACTAGAAAACATCATGCTAAATGAACTAACTCAGTCCCAAAAGGGCAAATACTGTATAAGACTATTATTATAGAAATAGAAAGATAACTAGTAAAACAGTTATGAGGATCCAAGGGAGGGAGGGAGGAGAATAGGGATGAGGGTGAGCAAGAGGGTCATCAGAGTTGCTTAATTTGATGGGTAGGGGGAGAGGTAGGAAAGGAAATGGGAAAGATCTGGTGTGAAAAACAATGTATACAAACTTGGAAGCACACCAGTATAAAATAAAAAATGGATTTTTTTAAAAAAAGGTTGCATAAGATCAGCAGGACAGGAGTCACTTAGACATAAAGCTCAGAAGCAGGAAGAAGTAGGATTGGATTCAAGGAAACAGGAATCACAAGGAGGAAGTGAGAGCAGTGCAGTCACATTGTGAGTATTCTAACAAATTCTTATAAGCAGGACTTGTAAGGGGTGGATAAAAAACTAATTGACTTCTAAAATTTTACTCAAATTACAATTAAATAAACAATACAATTTATGTTTTTCTTCCTTAAAAAGAATATTAAAAGAAGAAAAGCTGCAATTAAATGAGTTAAATAGCAAATTTACAAAGATTATAAATATATGAGATACAAATGAAATTAAATGAAAGCATAGCAAAACCTAAAGTTAATTCTTTAATAAACTTACAAAATATTTTATTAAAGTGCACCACAACAAGATAAAGGTAAAAAACCTAATTAAAAAATAGGCACAGGATATGAACAGACACTTCACCAAACATTCAGATGGCAAACAAATGCACAAAGAAATGTTCAAAATTCTTAGCTCTAAGAGAGATGCAAATCAAAACAAATATGAGATATCATCTCACCCTAGTAAGAATAGCAAAATTTAGCAGAACAGCAAACATCAAATGCTATCGAGGTGGTGGAGAAACTGGAACCCTTATTCACTTTGGGTGGGAGTGTAAAATGGTGCAACCACTATGGAAAGCTGTATGGCGCTTTCTCAAAAAGTTGCAAATAGAGATACCATTTGACCCAGCAATTCCACTACTGGAAATTTACCTAAAGAAACCATAACTGCCACCCAAGCAGATATATACAGACCATTGTTAATTGCGGTTTTGTTCGAAATAACGAAGAGCTGCAAACAACCCAAGTGCCCAACAACAAACGAATGGATGGGGAAGCTGTGGTATATTCACACAATGGAATACTATGCAGCATTGAAAACAAGGAGCTAATATTCTTCATAATGGATGACCCTGGAGTACACTATGCTGAGTGAAATATCTCAGTCACAAAGGACAGATATTGCATTTGGCCACAGTTGTAAAAGAAAGAAAGAGAAAGAAAGAAAGAAAGGAAGGAAGGAAGGAAGGAAGGAAGGAAGGAAGGGAGGGAGGAAGGGAGGGAGGGAGGGAAAGAAAGAAAGAAACCCACAAAAAATGGGACTGACATCAGGGCTGAGAGAAGACAGAAAAGGAGGGGAGGAATGATGTATATTGCATTGAAGCAGATGAGGGAGAGAATGTTTAAAAGGAATATATGAATTGATATTCTTGTCATTACAGAAGTCCAGAGTGAAGGCTGCATAGGGGAGTGGACTTGGGTGGGGGGAGGGATTGCACAATAATGAAAGAGTTTTTCTTTTTTTTTCAAGGAGAAGAGTGAATTGTGGGGGAGGAGGGAGAAAAGTGCAATGATGAATGATTGGAAACCCTAGGTCTCTGTAAACTTTCATTAAAATGAATTTAAAAAATTTAAAAATGCACATATAATAGAGTACATGTAACTTATACTATGAAAAAATATTTCATTAAATCGATAGTTCTCCTTGTCAATTTATCAGTCCCTGCTCTAATATTGAGTAACTCTGGTACACAATTGTTAAAGTTTTGTGCTCCTAACAGAAAGATTTATGGTTGAAAACCTTCGGGGGGGAGGGCAGGGGGGAGAGAAAAAAAAGAAAACCTTCAGTGCTTTCTTTTTTCTTTTTCTTTCTTTCTTTTTTTTTTTTTCTACTTTCTTAAGAGAAAGACTGCTTCAACCTGCTTCAGCCAAGATAGTAGCCTTGGACAGGGTCACTATGAGGATGAATCAACTCCATGACAACAACGTTTGATTGCTGTGATACCACATGTCACAATTATCTGCTAAGAAACTTTGAAGGCACTCCACAAAAAGGTTAAGTAGTCTCCTCCCTAGCAGTTAACTACATTTAAAGACCCTCTTGAGGGTCAGCTAGCTATAAGTTAGTTCTGGCTCAATGGTACACAACAGCAACAAAAGTTTTATAATGTCTTGATGTGTAATCTTCAAAGATAAACTTCATTACTGTGCAACACAACTATTACCCAGTGGGCCACAAGAGCCCTGATATGTAACGAAGTGTTTTTCTTTTTTGTTGTTACCGAGTACTTTTGTTCTTCCAAGGGAACAGGGAATTAGAACCATTTGCCAAATTCCATGAAAAACCTTTTAGGATTTTCATTGAAATTGCCTTGTAACTATTGATAAATAATATTTTTTATATTGGGGCTTTTCTGCCTATAGATATACATTTTCTTCTGTTATTTAGGTACCATTGAATATTTTTAAATAAAGAATATAATATTCTATGTAGATATTTTAAGCAGTAGCACTAGACCTTTTGTTAATAACACTCAAAAAATCATTAAACATTTTACACCATAGAAAAAAAGCTTCATGTCCTGATGAAATTTTTGCAACAGTATTTCTTTCAACAACTTAGAAATTCTTATATAATATTCACCTTTAAATGCAAAGACAGTATCCTTGGTATGAGCTTCATATGCAGCATCTAACTTTGATGGAAGAGAGGGCCAATGTGAGGAAATAGAATACAATACAGGTTTATGATCCATGTGCATTTTCCGCCAAAAATATCTGTAATACATTAAGATGAATTGAAGATGTCATTCTCTAGTAGATATTTAGGATGGGGAGATAAGCCTATTTATTTCTTTGCCTATCACTATTCTACAGACTGCCTTGGATTCTTGGACTCTGGGAGCTTTGGCAGGAACTGTTTCAACAGTGTAATTATTTAACTTGGTTTATATCCTAAAGCCTGTATCAATATTTATATGATGCATGCATTCATACATGGTAAAAAAATAAAAATCCCCTTATTTATATGGGAATTAAACATCATTAGAAAAATACAAAGGAAAACTGGTAGTTGTGGTTGCTCATATAATATATGGGGAAAGTATGTGAGAGATGGAAAGGTAATTGTCCTTTTTTTTATACATTAATTTTTTTTCTTTTTGAGCAATTTCAATGACATGAAAATTCTCAGATTCACAATATAGGGCTAGTTGAAATATGAAATAACATTTAATATACCCCCTCAAGCCCCCAACCAAACAGTTCACTGAATCTTTACCATGACAAGAAAAACCACCTTTCAGAATCCAGCTGCTTCACGTATGAGCTTTCAAACTGGAGACTTATTTGGGCATCAGTGAAATGTAATCTCCTCGTAACTTTTTAACATATACTTTGAGTATTCAAATTTATTTGGTTTGATTAAAGATAACTTGTATTCTTGTTATTGCCATATGCCATAGAATCAGAACAGACCCATAACTGACTCTCCAAAGGTTTTTTAGAGTCAGTAAATTGTAATGAAGGAGATTTCCTATCCTTCTTCTCTGCAGCAACTGGTAGATTCAAACTTCGGTATTTGTCTTTTAATTATTTATTTTTTGCTCACGTCTCTATATTTTGTCCTAAGCATATATCTAAAATAAACTAATTTACATAGTTGCATTTGATAGCCAAGGTGGAGACCATCTATCCTTTGAGCTATTGATGGTTTTTTTAAGGAATTCATCATTAATGATACATAAAATGGCAATTATTAATTTATTCAAATGATCTAGCACTAAGTCTATTCCAGTTTGGAGGATATTTAAGTGAATCAAACAAAAGTTTCCCATCTCTATGGACTTTCAGTTGCACTGACCAAGATCATATTTGGTAAGTCAGTTTAAAAATTATATAAATAACGTTAAGATGTTAAAAATGCAATGAGAACTAGGTCTGAATGATGTAAAAGCTTGGAGGAAACATTTGCTTTTTATACCTGTCAAATTTTTGTTGTTGTTTTTCCTATTTTATGTCAAAAGAATAATAATTTTTTTAAAAAATCAAGTCAATTCATTACTGTCAAGTCAGAACCAACTCAGAGCTAAAATTCTAGTTGGGTTTCCAAGGCTTCCCAAGAGAAGAAACTGCCCATCTTTCTCCCTGGGAGCTGCTGGTGGATTCAAACTACCAGAGAGCCATGGCTTTTCGGTTAGCAGTGCAACTCTATAAACAATAGGTAAGGGGAAAATACCCAACTTTTGAATCTCACCTGCCTTTAAAGAAGAAAATTTCTCCTCTCATGGTAGTTACTGCATCAAATGACAAGTCAGAGTCACACCGAGATAGAAGCTCAGATTTCCTAGAGATGGGTGCCTTGGTATAATCAAAGGAAGAGGGTGGAGGTCCTAAAAAGAACAGATGGAGGAATACAAATCTTAGAAGAAATGAAATGATATGTTAATTGCTATGCTTTCTAAGCATTTAAAATTTCAGGTAGTATTACAAGTTTCCACCATTGTGATTCTGAAGATCATCATTGTAATATTTTTTGTGCATTATATGCCTTATTTTTGCAATATCACTCACCATAGAGGGATTGAATGTTTTTCACATCATCTTGAGAAAGGAGCGATTGGGATTGGTCTTTGGGTTCCTTGTAGAATGTGTACATCAAAGCTTCAGGGTCATTTGAATGAAAGAGACCAAGGGAATGACCAATTTCATGAGCAGCCACATAGAAAAAATTGATACCTATGTGAAAAATCATAAACATTCAACTATTTAGCTCATTAATACATGTGCTTAATGCATGCCAGCTTAAAAGGCCACCCCTGGAATTATACAGTGTCTTCTTACTTGTGAAGTCATTCACTGGTTGGCATACATAGTTCATAGAAATATATTTTTCAGGGTTGATTTGAAGACAAGATCTATGACAGATTTTCAGCATATCCCTCCCTTGTCCTGTGCTTGCTCCTGAAATTCAGGTCACTTTTCCTATATTAACACTGATAAACATAGTTTCCAAAAGATACTTCTTTAGAGAGACCAAGACTAATTAATTGTATGTGAGATGGAGCTCCAAAATTCTAGCCTTCTAGGAGAAATTTGGTTTCACCCTCTCTAATACAGACCTATTTGTTTTCTTTGCAGTCCGTGATATGTTCAAGACTCTTCTCCAGCACCACAACTCAAAGGTATCTATTCTTCTTCTGTCATCCTTAGATAGATAGTCCATATTTCCGATGCATAGCAAATAATTGTGAAGACTATAGTCTGGATTAGACACACCGCAGTCTCTAGACTGGCATTTTTGCTTCTCAGTATTCTGGAAAGGTCTCTGACAGATTTGCCTAATGCAATTCATCTTTTAATTTCCTGACTGCTGGTGCCAAGAGTGTTGATCCTGCATCTTAGTAAGCTGTAATTGTTAACAACCACAATCTCTTCTCCACCCATTATGGTGCTGCTAATTAGTCCAGTGATGATAATCTTTGTCTTCTTGATGTTAAGCTTTAACCCATACTGAAGACCACAATACTTGACCTTTTGCAGCAAACACTTCAGGACCTCCTCAGTTTCAGTAAGCAAGGTTGTGTCATATGCATATATCAATAACGACAACCCTTTTTGTCTCTAAGAAGTTGGACATTTTTTTAAGTTTATTAGTGTGTACTCTTGATAATTTCAATTCCAGTTTTCTGCACATTCCATTATAATACTTTGTTTTCTTGAGCAACCTTTTGAAATAATCTGTTTAATTCTTTTATTCAGTATGCTTTCCCTTTGATTTGGCTTCTCAATGCATTACTGCAATTTTTCAGAGTTTTTTCTGATGTCCATTTTGGCTTCTCCTTTCTCATTTTTCTTTATAATTACCTTTTGCTCTCTTCATGAATGATATCCTTGACATCATCCCATAACTTATCTGGTCTTCGGTGTTTCAAACTTATTGTTAAGATTTATAAGTATTATAATGAAATACGCAGAAAGCTAAAATTGGAGAATAAAACAGAAAGAATGAACTCTACATTTCTCAAGGTGAAAGAATAGAAAAACAAATTTAAGCCTCAGTCTCAATATTGAAAGGTACTATGGGCAATATTTTGAATGATTTAGGAAGAATCAAAAGAAGATGGAATTCCTATTTTGCCATATCCTCTCCAATAGTTACTTGCTGTCTTGTTAAACTTGGCCACTGCTACTGGAGCGAGATGATATCTCATTGTGGTTTTGATTAGCATCTCTCTTATTTCCGGTGATGTGGAGCATTACTTCATGTGTCTGTTGGCCATTTGAATAGCTTCCTCTATGAAAACTCTTTCCATGTCTTTTGCCCATTTTGTAATTGGATGATCAGCCTTTTTCTTATGCAGGTCTGGGACTCTTGTCTGAGATGGTATTGCCAAATGTTTGCCCCATTCAGTAGGTTTTCTTTTAACCCTGTTGGGAAAAGTGTGACTCTTAGACATTGTTAGTGGGCTTGTAAAATGGTGCAATCACTCTGGAAGGCAACTTGGCACTTCTTCAAAAAGCTGAGCAAAGAAATTCCATATGACCCAGCTAGTCCAATGTTTGGGATATACCCCCAAGAAAATGAGAACTGATGCTAAAGTGGAAACTTGTACCCCAATGTTCATAGCAGCATTATTCACCATCACAAGAACGTGGAAAGAGCCCAGATGTCTGACTACAAATGAATGGACTGAGAAGTTATGGTATATTCACACAATGGTATACTACAATGCACGCAGGAACAATGATTTTGTAAATTACTACCTAACTTGGGAGGGACTGAAGAGCATTATGCTAAATGAACTAACTCAGTCCCACAAGGACAAATACTGTAAAAACCCATTATTGTAGAATAAATATGAGGCTCTAAGGAGTGGAGTGTAGAAGCAGAGAGAGGGGTGAGGATGGGGGGTGATGTTAATCATAGAGTTACACAATTCAGTGGTTGGGAGGGTGAAGGAAATGGGAAGGATCTTGTGTGAAAAACAATGTACTTTGTTTATAAATCAGCATAAAATTATTTTTTTAAAGAAGATGGAGGGTATACATAGACTCTCTGGACCAACAAGGAGAAACTGGAAGCTGTATTGAAGGCTGTGACAAAAAATAAGGCCCCAGGAATCGATAGGATACCAACTGACTTATTTCAATTAACAGATGCAGCCTTGGATGTGCTCACAAGTCCATGCTAGGAAATTTAGAAGACAATGGTCTGGTCAATAGACTGGAAGATGTCTATATTTGTTCCCATTCCTAAGAAAGGTGATCCTCAAATTCTTGTTTAAGAGACAATATTTTCTCCTGCTTTTCATAAAGGTTCCCACAGCATTCTAATTCCTATTCATTGAATTCTACCCAAATTGTATAATAGCAATGGTTAAAATTTCAAACATGTGCAAATATTCTCATTATTTCTACTATGGTTCTTTAATTTCCATTAATCCAGCTTTCCTATATCACTACAGCCTTCTGTGTGTTTTAAATTAATTGTTGAACATTTTATTCATATGTTCTTATTATTGTATACTCTCAAGTCAGAACTGACCCATAGCTTACCCTCCAGCAGGTTTTCAGGAGAAGTTAATTGCACAAGTGAAGCTTGCCCATCCTTCTCCCTTGGAGTAACTGTTGGTTTCAAATCATGTGCCTTTTGAATTGAAGCAAAGTTTCTTACTACCAGAGCTTCCTTTAGTCATATAGGTGATCATTTTAGTCATATAGGTGTCATTTTAGGACATTAGTACTTATAGGTGATATTGGTTATTTTGTAGGTTTACTCTAGCAGACTATTGGTAAAGAGCTTTGCTGCAATCTCAAAGGCACATGGTTCGAATGCACCAGCTGCTCTACAGAAGGATGAACAATCTCTTTTCTTGTGATGTTCTGCCTCTGAAAAATCTCCTGGAGGGTCAGCTAATGGGTCAATTCTGACTTACTGGTGCACCACAGTGGTAACCTGCTATCTATAAGATGATCTCAGGGATTGCTTTTAGTTTAAGGTTTGAAGAATTTCTCAAGGCAATAGTTTCAGGAACTCTTGCAGTGCCACCCTCAACAAGCCAGTAAGTCTATTTCTCTGTGTGTTTTAGGGTTTTCTTTGATTTTGGGGATTTAAGATTCAGTTACAAAGTCTTCTCTCATTCTCTAAGACTCTATCGTGGTCCTGTTTACAGAAGTTGGCAGTGATAGTTGGCACCAACAAGCTCTTTTTGTCTCAAGGTATGGGATAAAATGGCTTATGTAAACTATTTGTTTTGTAGACTGGATTCTACTTTGAGTCTTTAATTGCCTTTTTTTCTCTTATGCTCCAGAGACCAATAATTATACAGTGGCTCACAGGCTATTATGAATTCAGACTATTGTTCTAATTCTTAGCTACAAAACTGTTATTCCCAATAGCATTTGAGCTGAGTTGTTCTCAGCTATTCTTCATCATAATGAAATAATTTTTGGTAGCCAACACCTCTCTGTAGAAAGCAAAATTGTATGTACAAATAAAACAGCCCCATGACTTGTAACTGTTTTCAGAAACATAAAGGTAGCTGGATTCAACTTATCTTTACATTATAGAGTCTAATTTAAATTGTTATTGTTGTTACATGCCGTTGAGACACTTTTGACTCATAACGATCCTCTGTGCAATAGCCCTGAACCTTGCTCTATCTGTACCAACTTGTCTCTGACACACCTACCCCATCTCCCTGGTCACTGGATCAATCCATTTCATCAAGGGTCTTCCTCTCCTGTGCTGTCTCTCCACCTTCCCAAGCATGATGTCCCTCTCTAAAGACTGGTCATTCCTTGTACCATGCTTTAAATATGTCACACCAAGCTTTGGAATTCTTGTCTCCAGTAATAGAATTTATATAAAAAAGACTCTAGGCAATTATGCAAAATAGAGTTGCTCAGACAAAGTATTCCATTCAACATAATGATAATAATCTTTATAATAATAATAAAGATTTCAACCAGTCTCAGAAGTAACAACTGTCTCAACAAAATACTTAAAAGCCACAAAAATAATTTTAAAAAGTTATTTATATACACACACACATACACACACA